CCGTGTGTTTGCTCTCCAAAATTGCCCCCCCCCCCCCCCGCAGCTGTTATTTGTCAGACAAATACAGGGTCCATTTTGATGGTGGTGGGGGGGAAACAGAGAGGAGAGATTAAAACCCTTCTCCTTCCTCACCACAGCCTCAATCTGGAATTGCCTGCTATATGGCTAAAATTTACTTAAATTAACCAAACAAAATGCTGGCCATTCACAGCTCTGTTTGACCCTGTTACATGCTGTTTTAGATTCCAGTGCAGAATGGGCTACCGCAGAGTATACAACAGGCCAAGAAAAATGTGGGAGGCAGTTCAGGTACTGATGCTTGATGTGGGAACAGGTATTACCATCAGGGGTCGTTTCGTAGAAAAAGAGCTAAGGGAACTCATTAGCATAACTCATTAGCATATGCCACCCCCCTGACATCACCGGAAGTGTGTCATAAAAACCTCCTCTTCGGGGGGGTCAAAAAAAGAAGGAAGTGTTGTTCAGCCTTTCAGTGTCTTGGAACAAAATACTGTGTCCTGTTTGAGTTAGGCTATGTTCAGCCACTGCTGATTTTTCAGGTTGGCCAAATCTGCAGTGTCTTTCATGTTCTTTTATTCTTGTCTGAATGCTACGCTGTGTGGTTCCAATGTGAACTTGTCCACAATGTGGTATACTCCAGCAGAAGTGAGGGGGTCTCTTCTGTCTTTTGCTGATCGTAGCATCTGTTGTATTTTTCTGGTAGGTCTGAATACTGTTTGTAGGTTGTGTTTGAAAAACAAAACAAAACACAACCTACAAACAGTATTCAGACCCACCAGAAAAATACAACAAATACAATAGACTGCCCCATACCTTCCCAGACCGGGACAGACTATTTCTTAAACATCTTTTTTTATTTTTCCACAGATTTATCTGAGCAACAAGAGTTTTTTTTCTCCCCCTGATTTGCCTGAATGGGCTCCAGTTAGCCCAACTGAAATTAAAAGCTTGATAAATAAATTAAAGGCTAGAAAGGCGCCAGGTCCAGATGGACTCCCACCTGAGTTGTTTAAAGACCACCTAGACTGGTGGGCTTCCCCTCTGCCTACCCTTTTTACTCCAATAGACGAAACAGGGACCATGCCTGCTTTATGGACAAATGCTATTGTAGTTCCAATTTTCAAAAACGGGGATCCAAATTATCCAGGA